AAGTGGGGGAGAGGAGAAAGAAAAAACTGAAGTTTGGAATAATACAAAAGTGAGATGATGGGAAAAAGAAAAAAAATGGTGGCAAGATGATGGGCGAAATAGGAAGAAAGACACAGAACAAATAGGAAATAAGAGGGAGATAAGAGAAGTGAACGGAAGAAATGTTGAAGACAATGATAATGGCCCGAATGTTCTGAAGTGGGGTTTAGCGAGACAACACTTAACTCGACAGAGATCATGATCGTATTATTCAAAACCCACCTAGACAAGTCACTTCAATAGTATTATCTTCCGCCTAGACAATTACCCAGGACTACTTATCATGAAGAAATCAGTTCATTCATGATAGTAAGGCAGGTAACTGACTCTTACCACATCATCTCCCCTTTTGAAACTTACTACCTACAGAAGTTCTGTAGGCTGTCTCTTCTTTTTACGGGATCGTGTGTTTCCCGGAGCTATCTGGGACATAGGTACATCTAAATCGCCATACATAGCCACCATCGAGCCCTACTCTCAGAGGATCTATTTGTCCGAGAACCTTTTTCTTATTTGATTTAAATGTCTTTTATGCAACCACGTAAACCCTTTTAACATGTACAATAACTTTCCGATGGGTCTTTTGACATTATAATAAATAGTGAATCATTCTAGTCGCCAACTGTTGTCATGTGGGGTCTGGCACACACAACACTTAACTCGACAGAATCAGTCGTGATAGTAGTATTCAAAACTCTGCTAGACAAATCACTGCAATAGTAATATCCCCTTCCGAGAAAATTACCCAGGACTACTTATCATGAATAGATCAGTCCTTTCATTATAGTAAGAAGGATAAGTAGCTCTTACCACAACAATATGGAATAATCAATATGAATGACAGAATTTCAAACAATAAAAGAAGGTTGAAGAATATATCGGCCGAACGGTTTAAAAAAACAGTAAAAATAAAAACAGTAATCGCAATGATATATAAAATATTGAAAATTCTTCAAATGCCAATCAGTAAATTAATATTATATATATATATATATATATATATATATATATATATATATATATATATATATAAGAGAGGTTGTCTGTGTGTCTGTCTTTGTGATACCTTTTCGCTCGATATCCATCCAACCGATTTTGATCAAACTTCGCTAATGCATTGTACAATGCAAGAGATAGGTTCGTAGAGTAAAAAATCGATATTTTTTTAAAAAATCAGTAATCGATAAAGCTGATCAAATATTCGATACATTCAACATTTTTCCTCCGATTTCGTTCAAACTCGGTACGTAGGTTACTTTCATCATGACGAGCTCAACGATACCTCATTCTTATTTCTACCCCACTGCGTTCAGTGAAAAACCGCGAAAATCGAAAAATCGATATCAACGCAAATCGATTTCAAGACAAATTTTAAAATAAAAACTCCCTCAATTTTCAAGCAATCTAATACAAACTTCACTCAGTTGTAGCCAACAATAAATTGATTGTTTAACAGTCATTTAACAGAACTTGATAACTGAGTCCACCCATATAGTGAAAATTTGCGTAAATAGCGAAAAATTGCGATTTTTACTGGTTTCTTTCTTATTTTTTCATTAATCTTTCAAGCAATTTTCATCAAACTTAACAGTTGATTTATAAATGTATCCTCTTTCACATCCCTGGTAGCACACTGAAAAATTGAGTTTCAAAAACTCCAAAATAATTGTGGTCTGAAGTGGGTCTTCATGTTGCCTGTTTTACCCCTTCTTGTCCTCGGCTAACTTTGATTGAATAAATGCAGACTATTTCTGTTATATCAATAACTGCATTAATTCAATTTTTTTAATGAAAATATTTTAAAGTAATTGGAGATAAACTCTGTTACATCTAAACATGATGCTGGGTTTGCTCCACTTTAATTGAACGCTTTTTCGGATCGACCAGCTTGAGTATAGCTGCTAGTCTCCAAAAAAATTCTTACAATATAAAAATATATTCTGACATTTAATAATCTGAGAAGGGTTAATAAGGCTGTAGAAAACCAGTCAATCAATCAAAATTATAAGATACCAGTTCAGACCTTCACAGCGAAGCCCCGCCAAGCTACGTTCAAGGGAACCATTATCCCTCATTCTCTTTGTAATCAGACAGCCTCTTCCCAAGAACCTGTATTTTGTACAGCAGTCCCGAAGTTTTCCACAACATTAACATTTTAACCTCTCGTAGAAAAATGTCAATAGTTATCTTCCCACTATATCATTATAATCCTCACTTCCTACTTCATATTACACATCATTTATTAGCGTGCTACATTAAGTAGCTTTTGAGCCATGTATTGGGTGAATATTAATAGTTAAATATATAAGACCTATTTCCATTACCAGCATGCTGATTGGGACTCACCCAGTGATTTTCTCCGAGACACCGACTTGGATTAATATTTTTAACCTTCAAATTGACAACACCCTTTAAATTAAGTATTGCTTTCAAATTGAAAATGGCCATCAAATTGAGTATTGCCTTCAAATTGAGTATTGCCTTTAAATTGAGTAATGCTTTCAAATTAAGTATTGCTCTTAAATTGAGTATTGCCTTCAAATTGAGTATTGCCTTCAAATTAGGTATTGCTCTGAAATTGAGTATTGCTTTCAAATTAGGTATTGCCCTCAAATTGTGTATTGCCTTCAAATTGAGAATTGCCTTCAAATCAAGTATTGCCCTCAAATTGAGAATTGCCTTCAAATTGAGTTTTGCCTTCAAATTGAGAATTGTCTTCAAATTGTCAATAGCCTTTAAATTAAATATTACCTTCAAATTGAAAATGGCTGTCAAATTGAGTATTGCTTTCAAATTGAGAATTGCCTACAAATTAAGTATTGCCCTCAAATTGAGTATTGCCTTGAAATTAAGAATTGCCTTCAAATTAGGTATTCCCCTCAAATTGAGTATTGACTTCAAATTGAGAATTGACTTCAAATGAAGCATCGCTCTCAATTTGAGAACTGTCTTCAAATTGAGGATTGCCTTCAAATTATGTATTGCTCTCAAATTATGTATTGCTCTCAAATTGAGAATTGCCTTCAAATTGAGAATTGCCTTCAAATTGAGAATTGCCTTCAAATCTAGAATGGCCTTCAAATTGACAATAGCCTTTAAATTAAATATTGCCTTCAAATTGAGTATCTACTGTCGTCGTGATTACTCTTCTTTTGTCCCCGCTCTTTAGCCATATTACTATTTGTAACTTTTCCACACTCGATATCTGTCTATATTTCTCAAGGACACATGGGCCAGGGAATGAAAAGCGTTGCTTGAATCCAGTGACTTGATCCAAACAAATGGTGACTTCAATATCTGGCTACTGCTGAGGGGAACAAAGACTTGGGGAGTTGAGTTAAAGGAGGGTTACTCTTGCTGAGACATCCGGAAGAAACATGCCATGAGGAACTAGAATAATCTACCTCGATGGACGAAATAAACGATTGAGTTAGAAATTCCAATTGCCTGTAGTAGGCCGAAGCGCACAACGGTCGAAACGTCGTGAATATGACAACATTTCTAAGAATATAAATAGTGTAAGTAAATAATTCTCCCACAACCAGTAACCGCTTGTGTTTTAGTGGCTTTATAGCCTCGCGAACTCGATTAATATATATATATATATATATATATATATATATATATATATAAAACTAAAAGGATATATAGAAGTCGAAACCAACGAAGGTACCAATTTCTACTAACACTAAGAGGGCATGGATTTATGTTTTTTATTGAGTCTCTATTTCTCCAGAAAAAATGGTTTTAAAGGCTCGACTTATACATGTGTATACGCGGTAAATATAATTTGATTTTCAAATCGAGTTGCCTTGTGCTGTCAAAGAGGGAACGACAAGGAATTTGTTTATCAAATTAACACAGTTTTCTTTTTTTTTTTTTTTGTTAACTTTTTTCGTTGTCTATCGACGTTGGGAATGATTGCACCGAATGGGCAGTCATGGAGCTTCTTCGTGTAAGTTTTGCAGCAAATAAAATCATTTTCGATTTCACATCTTTCGCTCGCACCCTCTTATATCTCTCGTTTCACACTTTTGTCTATCTATCTATCTATCTATCTATCTATCTATCTATCTATCTATTTCGGGCTCTTCATTATCTCTCTCTCTCTCTCTCTCTCTCTCTCTCTCTCTCTGTATAAAGAGGAATAAAAGACAATAATTGAAGAGAAGAGAGAGGAAAGAAAAATGGCGAGAAACAAAGAAAATATAGAAAAGTGTGAGAGAGAGAGAGAGAGAGAGAGAGAGAAACTGAAAAGAAGATAAACAAGAATATATATATATATAATATATATATATATATATATATATATATATATATATATATATATATATATCAGCCTCTTCATTTTCTATCTATTTCAGGCTCTTCATTATCTACGTATCTATAACAGACTCTCTATCTATCTATCTATCTATCTATCTATCTATCTATCTATCTCTCTTAGGCTCTTCATTATCTATCTATCTATCTATCTATCTATCTATCTATCTATCTATCTATCTATCTTAGGCTCTTCATTATCTATCTATCTATCTATCTACCCATCTATCTATTATCTATCTTGGGCTCTTCATTATCTATCTACCTACCTATCTATCTGCTTGAAACCTTTAACCTCCCTTTCACAATTTCTAATTTATTCAGTGTTCTTACCCTTTTTCTTCTCATTATCATTATGTCTCCCTCCGTCGATTATTTGATCTTCAACTTCCTCGCCCTCTCCTTCCTCTAACGTTTTCTTTGCCTTTTTTTTTTACTGTGTTTTTCTTTTGTCTTCTTTTTTTTCAGCCAGGTCGTTGCTAAGTTTAAAGACTTTGTCAAATCGACTCAAAAGGCGACAGATTCCAAGAAAACACTTCTTGAGTACACAAAGCCCAACGCGAAAAACAAATCAGGTTTGCTTTTAGCGCTCAAAGAGAAGGTAGAATTCAGAAATTGCAAGTTACATAGCCGAATGT